CGGAACTGTAAGATTAGTCAAGAAAGATAACGGTTGAATTTCAATCTTTTCTCTTATATGGATATAAAAAAATGGAAGATAGAGAAGGAGAATGGAAGGGTTAAAAAAAATAAGATTAATTATTAAATTGCAAAAATAGTCTTAATGGATAAAAAAGTTAGTTTTTTATTCTAAGTAAAGCTTGTTTGGATCATCTAAAAGTCTTAATCCTTCTAAAGTGTTAAGATTTTTAGTACTTTCGAGGTTATCCCACATTTCCTTCTGTTAGGAGTTAAAATCACAATTAACCCAATTTTTTTTAAAGGATTAAAATTATGTTATTTTTATAAAAAATAAAAAAATAATAAATTTAAAGTTAGATCGAATAAATTAATTTTTTTATTAGATTAATCAATTTTTTTTATAAATAATTTATATAGGTATAGAATCCTAATCAATTAAATTTTATATTAACATATCAAATCTATTTAACTTTAATATTTATATCCATCCAAGAGTAGATCAAGTCCAAGATCTAGATAGTTGGATGAGTGGGTTGACCATGAGTAAATTGGTCAACCAGACTATGATTGAAAAAAATAATTAGTGTTTTTTAATAAAATAATGTTATTTTAATTAAAAAATAAAAAATAATTTGAAATAATACCTAGTTTAAACTCAATTTTAAATTGACAGTCACCGAATTGACTTGCCAATTTTTTTAACTATAGTGAAGATCAAACATGGATGAAGGGTTTTAACACCACCTTTCAATCTCCTACAACTAAAAACCCTCCAAAACAAACATGATGTAAGAAAAAAAATGATATAAAGACATAATCTCTGTTTCTCGTTATGTTTTCCAGTTTCAGCTTCACATGCTGATGTCTTATCATCTGGAAAATTTCTAAGGTTTTTCTTACTGAGTGAACTCCAAACCAACTTTACTAGCTTACCATCTTGAGACTGCAACGTGCCCAAAGAAAATCTGGACATAATTTTGGGGCCATGCCAGACGTGGCCTAGGCCGATGCTCTTTTATCATAAAAAGAACTGGATTAATGGCCCATACTATGCTCCCGAGGAGCAGATCAACATTTTATTGAAAGGAAAAAAAAATCCAAGTTATTAATTTAATACATACTAAGAGATTTTTTTTTTACTGTAACAAAAATATGGTTTACCTTCTCACATATTACTATATATTTCAGCAGTGATATTTTTTTAAAAAAATAATTTTATCATCAATTTTTTACTTTACATGATTTAGCCCTTTTAACCTAAATTAGAACCCATTACGTATTTTTCTTGAAGGAAGGTTTGAATTGAAAGATAAAGAACTAAAATGAAAAAAAAAAAGCGAAATAGATGGTAACTTTGAAATTTAACTCAAAAGTTCATTTGCAACCCCATCTTTTTTTTCTCTAAAGTAATTGGTCCTTTTAATTTTTAAAATATTTATTTTGATATCAAATTTTATTTTCCTAACTTTTTTTTTGTAAGAAGAAAGAGAGAATTCACTAAATTCCAATGTAGAGAGACAAAACTCTTCGTTGACACCTTTTTCAATCATAAAACAAATTAAAATTGATGTTAACAGATTTTATTAGATGAAAAGAATTTTATGATGATTATTTTAAGTCTTAGTATAGTCTAAAAATCAAATATAGGTCAAGGATTGAATATTTTCTCCAGTTTGATTTGGTAGTTTAGATTTTTTTTTTGTTTATGAGGCTGATAGATTGATTTTTTTAGTGTTTTAAAAGTATTTTGTAGTTGAAATGAGTTCAAATTTTCAAGTTAAAAAACTCATGACTTTAATTTCACCACCATCGCAAGGTAATTGAAATATAGGGTGACTGGCGACATGTCGTCTAATATAAGGCCACATGTTGTTTGCCTATTTTTTTTTCAAAAAAATAATAATACAAGAAATAACAGGCTTAGATATACAGGACTAAGCTTGAAGGCCTATACATTTGAGCTTTTAACCTTTTCCATTTTTTATATCTTTTTTTTTAATTAATTCCTCTTCTTATGTCTTTTTTTTTAAATAATTCTTAAGTTTATTTTTTAACACTCTTTTGTGATTTTCATTGGCTTATTTAGCCCTTTTTGAATAGTAATTATTTTTAAATTATATTGGGTATGTTTAATTTTTAATAAAGTTAGTATGATTCATCTGTAATTTTATATATATTTCATATAGATTAGATTTATTTTAAAAAATTAAAAATGCTTATTTTTTATAATATTGTTATGGCTTTACATTTCTTTTCTTTTCTTTAATAAATTTTTTGTGTGTTAATTTTTATTACAAATTAATTTTAATTAATGAATTTATTAAACATTACTGGATAAATGACTCATGTTATGCTAATAAATATTTTGATATACATTTATTTTTTATTTTTTCATGTTTGATTTTTATTTTTTGTCAATTTTTTTATTAAATTATCCTGATTTCATGACCTAGAACGCATGATATATATGTAATCTGGAGATATCTCATGTGCAAATCATGAATTTTGCATCTTAGCCTAGCTTTGCCCAAGGAAATATTTTTAAAATTTTATTTTTTGTTGTTTTTGGATCATGAATTTTGCATCTTAACCTAGCTTTGCCCAAGGAATATTTTTAAAAATTTATTTTTTGTTGTTATTGTTTTTTTAATCATATTATCAAGTTAATCAAGATTTAACCAACTTATCAAATTTCTCTTATTTATTTAAAAATACAATCATCTCCTAAACTTTTTTTTGAAAAATTTTGTTCGATCCACAGTGTTGCGGGCAGGCCACCAATCTAGTATGAAACTATTTGGTATTGCCATTAAACTTTTCCCCACGAGTCAAATTTAAAACCTATGAACTCTTCTTTTTGTTTAACCCGAGTTTTAAATTAAATTATGTTAGGGTTACCTCGACATGACCCTGTCTGCTTGGCAGGTCCAAAAATAGGTAGGATAGTTGATAAAAAATATAGTTTAACTTTAAAGAAATATCAAGGTGATGTTTTTTTTTAATATTAAGATAATAATATATTAGATTAATCAGAGCTTCACAACTTAACCCATCAAGCTCGTAACTTCGGTTATAAATTTCAGATGGTTTATTATTTAAAAAACTTTTTTATTTAATAATATAATAATAAAAATAAATATTTTTAAAATTAAGCACAAACAAAATATTATGAGATTTGTTTGAGAAAAAAATATTTTATAGAAAGTAAACTAAAATAAATTTAATAAACTAATTCAAAAACAATCAGATATCAAATAATAAAATTGAAAAAGAATAACCAAATAAAAAAATTAATATAAATATAATATTAAATAATAAAATTTTAAAAATTATTAAAAAAGAAAAAGAAAAAGAGAGAGTACCTCCCACTATCTATATGAATAATATAAAAGATGAGTCATCTCGAGTTTTTTTAGATTTATACTATAATAGCCATATAGGTGTCATTAAATGACTAATCACCCTACGATGTACATTAAAGTTAAAAAAAAAAAAACCCAACTACTTTAGCGTTGATATAAAGAAAAAAGCTCCATTTGAAAATCTTATTTTTTAAATATATATATATATATAAATTAATTTATATTTTTGAATTAATTTGGGTATATATTAACTAATCTTATGATTTTTAAAATTAATAATTATATAAATTTTTAATAATTATAAAATTTATAAAACTTAAATTAATAATTTCTAAAAAAAAATTTAAAAATATAATAAAGTAATCATCAATAACTTAAACTTAATATATTGTATAATTGTACAGCCAGAATCATTGGGAAAGCACCTCAAACTTAATATATTGTATAATTGTACAGCCAGAATCATTGGGAAAGCACCTCGTTCTATTGGCTGTCAGATTTTTATAACCCATGAAGCTAAAGTCTGGAGTTGGGCATTCCAAGGCTTGGTCTACTGATGAAAGGGGCTTGTTTCCTTCCACTGTACTTGAATTCAAGTCTTGGCGTGCATGCCTGTCATCCTCGCTGTGTCTTACATGCCTATTGGGTTTACAGGGTATTCAGTGGGCCGTGGGGATTAGTCGTGGTGCGTGCAAGTTGGCCCGAATACCCCACATAAATTAAAAAAAAAAAAGTCTGGAGTTGGCACTATCCACTTGCATGGATAATTTTTTTTATTCTTACATGGGACAAAAATATAGATTCCTTCGACCCCCCAGTTTGTAAAATGTTGGCCCCGGTTCCAATTTAGATCATCCTTTTTCATTAGTTAGATCATTGATCAATGGTACGTAATTATCTTCTTTGATCTATTTATTATGAAAATATTAATGATCCCCAATTTCATAATTTATTAAGTACAAATATGATAAAGTTAAACAAAAAGTAAAGCATGTGATTAGTGTAATTATTAAACATTATTTGAATGTATTTATTAAACTTTATTTATTATCAAATTATGTTAAAAAAGGAATAAACTTCAAATATTTAAATAAAATCTTAATTACATAATAAATAATTTTTATTTTGAAGGCTAATGTTTTTAAGTATTTATAATAGATTCCACATATATTTATAATGAATTCTTAATATAATAGATTCTAAGTATTTATATATGATCCAAAAACCATAACGAAGATCATGGCGATCAAGCATTTCAAATTCGCACGGAACCTTGATTGGCCGGCTAAGTGATCGTGAAAGCTGCCAGAGGAGTGTGGAAATGGCACCAACCTGTGCTGAGGATTGAAGGTGATCTGGGATGCTTTCATGTGGACCACAATTGTTAAAGGATGCATCAGCAGCAATACCTTCTTTGAATGTCTTGTAATTAAATTATACCAAGTGGAATGCATAGAGATCCATTCATTAGCATGCCAGACGGAGAAATTGCCTGCCACTCACTGTCTACACCTAATAAATATTCTTTGATGGAACTGTCATTGCTTGGACTCTCGCGTTTGTTTTCACTCTCAGTGCAGCTGGCAATGAATCCACTAATAGTAAATGGTTTGGGAAGAAGCACAAATGTAATGTTTTAGAGCTTATTTACTTTTGTATGCAGTATTATCGGTGATTCATAGCAAAATGAAGCTGCATTGCACTTTGGACTGTTAATGAACACCATATGATCATTATTATAGAAATGAAGGTGAATGATATCTCGCATTAACTTACAGCAGGAAGGACCAGCTTCTACAGCGAAGGGCAAATGATACCAGTGGTTCAGATAACTCCAACCCAAATATGTTCCTCGCTGCCATTTCATCATTTTTTGCGCCTCTTGAAATTGTCTGATCAAAACTCAGGAGTAAATGGCATGCTGAGGAAGTATTTAATTTTCTAAAAAAGCTTTCATGGAAGTTGTAATGGGCACCCTTACGTATTTTGAGTAATAAGGCAGTCTAAGGATGAAATGTTCTATAGTTATTGCATTTAGCAGGTGTCCTCCAATATTTATTGTTGCCTAAATAATAAAACATAGAAGCAGAAAATTATGAACTTGTGCGGTATCACCATTCACCTGCCATAAGTTAAAGCATGACAAAATAGTATATCTTAAACAAAAATTTCTGGATAGCCCATACCTTTCTCATTAGTTCAACAACCATCTCAGGACTCTCGGGGATTCCATGTTCTAGAAATGCCTACGGCAATATGACACGGTAAAGATTCTTTACGTTAATACTTGACACAGTTACAGAAAAGATAGGTTTAGGGCATGAATTAAATCCAATGGAATGGAAATGATGGTCAAATTCAGATTTACCTAAACAATTTGGAACTTGAAAGAAAGAATATTTGACATTTTTTAAAAAGAGGCTGGCTTACATTCATCATGCAGGAATTGTAAATATTTATCCAGAACGCAAGTTTCTCCTGATGAGTGAGGTTCTGCAAGTCGACGGAGGCAAGTTTCCCCAATAGAAGTCTGACGATTCATAAATCATACTAGTGTTGTTGATATGATAAAAACAATGCATGAAACCAATCGAATTACTTGGAAAAGTTAAAATTTACTCAAGTCTGTGAAGTAGAAACAAAGAATTTGATGTTCGGTTGGGATTAATCGCCCCAGGTTCTATTGAAAACAAACGCTTATATGACCCAATATCTCTGTTTCCAAATTCTGAGCATATACCATAAGGATCCCGACATTCAATTTCTTTCCCATTTTCTTGAGAGACTAATGTTGACGAGAAAGGTAAATTATCTGCAGTAGGCTTATTTTTCACTGAGCTCATTCGTAAGAAAATGCTTGACAAGCATTTCATGATGTCCTCAGACACCTTGTTCGGGCTGTCATCTCCTGAGAGCCTTTCACCTGGAGTAACAACAGTTCTTGCTTCCACATTTTCTTGGCCTGTTACTCTGCGTTCTAGCTGGACATATGTAACTGGGTTCATTTAGTTGTTAATAAAGTTGATACATCTTAATGAAAATTGTTGGTATTATTACACAATACAGACCTGTAACTTAGGAGAATCTAATGTCTTTTCTGCTGATCCATTGTTGACAGCAGGTATTATGACCATATTTTTGCTTGTCTGAGCTTTATGGATTGAGGATCCTTTGTTGTTCTTCATAGAATTAGCAGTAGAGAATGCATTCTCTTTCGCTGTTCCATCTGCTAAAGAACAATGAAGGTGGATCAAGGCAAGAGGGATATCAAATGCCTCCATGTGCATATCCGATGTATCAGATGCTGATGGCATCAAACATTTAGCTTACTGGAAAGGGATGACAAATGCCTTTTCATGGAAGCGGCTGATTTGTCCAGATTTTGAGCCAAGGACTTCAACTGATCTGGCTTGGGATTCTTATTTCGGTACAAGTTGTATAAATCGGAAAAACTTCCCATGTTCCTTTTGGAGCTTGAAATGTGGACAGCTTCTTGGTACAAGTCTTGCCTAAAATAGACAATCTGTTCTTCAAGCTGAACCACCTCCTCTTCCAAAACAGCCACTTCTGCAAGAAGCTCCAGCGTCTACAGAAACTAAAATCCAGTATCAAACTATCTCCGTTGATTGCATGTAATGGTCAGGCAAGTATTCCAGTTCATTTGTTTTTCTCAAGTTAATTGGTTGAGCATTGATATATCATTCGAATCTCTGTTTCTCTCCTCACATCTTTCAATCAAGTCCTTCCATATTTCTTATCAATCCGATCGCTATGCTTATTAAGTTTAAGCTTCATAGTAATACTGTTTGTCTATAGGCACCTTTCTACTATTGAACTGACAACGCTAAAGGAACTTGAATGAAAACCATATGAAAGGATGGTGAATTACTAACCGCAGGAGGGAGATATGGAGGAAGGCGAGGGAGAGCTCCCAACGGTCTGCTGAAAGCTCTCTCCAAAGCTCTGTGAATATTCTCTTCGTGCCTAAGTTGCTTCTTTAGATTATCAACCTGATTAAAAGGAATTTTCAACACAATAATTAATGTAAGGAACGGTTCCATTGAAGACAGGACGGCATCAATGGAACAGGAAAGATACAAGATGGATTGATCTGTTTTGAATTATAGAAAGAAATAACAAGAGAACATGATCATACATCTTGTTGCAATGCTATTTTCCTCTCTCTGCTCGAGATTCGTCTGTTTTTGGCAACATTTGGTTTGCTCCCCTGCATTTCAGCCTTCTCCTTCAATAAAATAGATTTAAATACAAATTACAAAACAATCAGATTCTCAAGTGAAAAAGAAAAAAAAGAAGGAAATAAACTATGCGGAGAAGTGGGAAGAAAAGGCAAAGAACATAAAACAAAACAAAGCTCAATGGAACAGGCCATTAAAAATCATCTGAAAGGAATTGTTTTTACCAACAATTCTTATGATTTTCCAAAAATAGATTTGACTGAAAATGCAATTCAGACTCTCATCAAATATGCATTCTTTATAAGAATTTACTGGAGCTTTCAGCTTCTGGATCCTCCTCATTAAAACTGAAGCCATATTTTCTGGCGAAAGCTATATCGCCCCATATCTAAAAAGTTACTAGACCTCTTCCAGGTTTAGACTTTGGATGGATAGACCATATCTACAGCACAAGCCATTTTTCGAAACAAATAAAAAATAAGCAGTTAAAGTGATTAAGCAACCAAGTTTAAGCATCGATTAAGTGCTTACTTTTTCAAGCTTCATTGGAGCTTTCATGGACTGCAGCCTATTCCTCGCGCTAGTATTCATCTTTGCTCCCTTTAAATCTGCAAGTCCTTCATTAAAGAACCCAATTCAATAACTTCATTAAAGTAACATCACAGAACCAAAACAAAAACAAAACAGTGACTCCTTTCCATATCAAATGAGTAGCATTAAAAGAGAGAGAGAGAGAGGAGCGTCACCAGATTTACATATACCTTTACTGAAAGTTCATTCCTTGAAAATAACAAGAAACTTCAATGCCATGAAAGTCAAGTGTCACTTAAAATCTCAACGTTCCTCGATCACTGTGAAGTGAATTCGCCACTACCAAGGTTTCAGGCCGAGTTAAAAACCAAATGACTGGAACTCTCTTCCTCTTTATACATTTCTACTGACAAGGGACATGATAATAGATAGATAAGGAGGAAATGGAACAAGAGACAGCCAAAGATGAGGGTGTTTGAATTGCTGTATCTTATTGTGCTCTAAGTTGTTAACATCATTTAAAAGGAGACAGAGAGAAAGATGGGGTGGCTATGTACGTAAATGTTCATGCGACTGTCTAAGGTGAAATGAGAAGGCTAGCTTTCCCAAAAAAGGCTCCTTAAGACGACGGTTTAAATAGAAAGTGATTTTCATTTCTACGTAATTATTTAGTTTGAATCTAAAATTAGGACAAGGGATATGATTTGTCTAAGATCTGATCCCGTAAGAATAAAATCTTAAGTGATCAGGGATACATAGTTTAATTTGTTATGGTAAAGGTAGTTGTTTTTTAAAGTATTTTTTATTTGAAAATATATTAAAATAATATATTTTTTATAATTTAAATTTATTTTTAATATTAATAATGCATTAAAAAAAATCTATTAATAAAATTAATTCTTTACCTTCGAACAGCCTCTTTCATAATAGTAATTTGAAGATTTGGGCTCAACTAATATAAGAACTATTTTCGGCTCAGGAGGACCGATCTACGAGCCCGGAGAGAGTGATCCTAGGCTCCTAAATGTAGCGCCGTCCGCACTCTCAAAGCACAGCACACACGCACCATGGACCCTGTCTGCGTCATCATGAAATAACGTGGAGCCTCTCTTCCCAACATTCTTTAGTCATTGGATTTTTGTGGTTCTATACCTAGATTGTCCCTGGATTTGTGTTTCTATTACCAAGATGTCCCGATCCGTGATGATGGGTTCACGTTTTTATCCAACTGACCAGCAGCTGATCTTTGCAGAGCCACTAGATCTTTGAATGGCTAATTTTGGTTCTTCTATGAAATGTGTATCAATAAATTAGGGTTAATGTTAAGGTAGTTTTTGGGTGCCAAAACTAGTTGTGAAATATAAATATTTAATATCTTATCAATAACTAGATTTAGTTACTGGTACAAAAATTTTATTAAAATTTTATTTTTTAATTATTAACATGATTATTCAAGATTGTTTCTATATATCCTGATTAATTTTATCATTCTTTAAGTTAATGATAATATAACTTCACAATAATTATGATATTTATAAAATTTAAATTGATAATCTTTAAAAATATTAGAATGCTTGATTTTATAACAAACACATTTTTTTCTTTCTATTCTTTTCATCTCTTCTCTTTGAGGCAAAAAATCACTTCTTCCTTTCTTAATTTTTCAACATAAAAATATTTATTAATTAATTTAAAAATTATAAGCAAACCAAATTAGAATAAGGCTCATAAACATCAATTTATTTTTTTGATATGTTTGAAGAATGAAATCACCTCAATTGAACCTCCTTTCTAAAACAAATTCATGTGTCCCAAGATCGGATTTGTTGGACGGATATTTTCCCTCTATTTTATCTTTTTAGTGATTTTCTCTTTTATTTAGGAATATTTGGGACTAAAACGTTATAAGATTAAAGTTTATGACCAAACTCTAAAAACATAAAAAATAAGAAGCAAGCATCTAAAAATTAGAACCTGAGAGTCTAAAAATAGAAGTTTTTTGGCCTTGCGAACAACATGAAAGAAAGAAAAAAAAGCTTTGTTTTTTAGTTAGTTTTGATCCTTATTCTTTTTTGTTTTTCTTAACAATAACTTAAAATTTTATTTTATAAAATTAATATTTAATTTAAAGTTAGAATATTCCATGGCATATTGGATAAGTGAGAGTACGCAGCCTGGATTCCAACACATAAAAAACCAAGCCAACTTAATTTTCAGGGGTGAAAATAAAAATAAATAAAGTTCAGTGATTAAAGTGCAAGAAAAAAAACTACAAGGACTTGAATGGAAATTATAATGAACAAGGAAGTGGATCATCAAAAGAGCATGCACGGTAAAACATCAACTTTTAATATAACACAGTGGTTTTATTATAGCGGCTTCATGGGTCCAGCTCCCCCGTCAGGTAGAAGGCCCAGTTTTTCTCAAGTAGACGCTAGATTTGTGACGTGTCAGTGAACACTGTACAATGATTGAGAATAATATGTTCTCTTCCTTAAAAATAAATTAAACAAAAAACACGCCCTTGGATGAACTACAACACTCCCTTCAAAAACAAATATTTGCATTGGAAATCACCAAAATCTCTAAGCGTGGTTATGAATGACAAAAGCTCGCTTTAAATGACTGCGGTTTAACTTGTAAAAAAAAAATGGATTAATTTTTTTAATATTTTTAAAAGTATTGATGTTTAAAATATTTTTAAAAAAATTAATTTCTTAATATAAAATAAAAAACATTTTAAAAAATAATCATTACTACACCCTTAAATAACGCCTAAATATTTCTATCTTCTGGGCTGAAACAAATTAAGTATCTTGAATGGTGCATCGAAGCGGGTATTCAAACAAATTGAATTATAGATAGTGATTTACATGATCCTATAAAACAATCAGACCATAAAATGTCTAGCCCTGGTACTTATTGAAGCGCAATGAATGTTTGTTTCCACACCGTGAGCTTAATTAAGCATCTTATTACAACATAATAAAGAATCACCAATTCTAATTACAATCATATATATATCCTTTAAAATTTGCAAGATTTTTTTCCATGGGGTGACCTAGCACGGCGAAGCTGCTTCTCCTGGGAGAGTATTTTTGCGAACCTGCAAAATTAAGGATGTCACACTGTTCACTACATGAAATATTAGCTCATAATCTGGGTAAAACAGTGGCTTCGCATATACCTTGCCAGAGCCTCCTCATTCGTCTCTTTGACAGACTGCTCAAACAGGCCACTCTCCAAATTCACTCTCGAAACTGGTTTCTTTAGAAGTCTTTCACCAACCTTCACAAGGTCTTCCAAATTTGTTTTTGTAGCTATATCGACAGAACATTCTTCCCTGCTTAATGTGTCGTCCTGCATGCAATGAATGCTTAAACATTACTGCTGATAAAAATACGGAGAAAACATGCTATCAGCATAGTGCAATGTGTTTGAATGTATGATTGTGTTTTTTTAAATTATTTTTTATTTGAAAAAATATATGAATAATATTTGAAAAGTATATCAATAATAATTTTTTATTTTTTAAAAATTATTTTTAAAATTAGCACATTAAAATGATTTGAAAACATAAAAAATATATTAATTTAAAATAAAAAAATTAAATTTTTTCAAAAATATTTTTAAAATACAATGCTAAAGACATTAAGAAGACATGGCCACCCCTGGTTCAAATGTTCTTTTACGCCCACATATAATTCTGTTTGGATTTCTCAGTTATATTATTTGGTCATTTAACAAAACAGACCTTTTAATACTGTGTTTAGAAATTAAAACTTGTCCGAAACTTTCCGCCTTTTTTTTCATATGGCCTTTCTTTTTTCCCGATTTATTTTTTTTCCTTTCATTCTTATCCCTTTTTTTTCCTTTTATTTTCTATTTTTTTCACAAGTTTATTATTTGTCACTCTTTTTACACGATGCATGGTATGTAACTTGTCATAGCAAAAGCTTCGATATGTCACTCATTATCAAAATATGGCATAATTTATTTTCATTTGTGCATACAACTTATTTGGATTTAAAATTATACACAAAAATATTAAATGTATATTTCATGCGCAAAACTAAACGAATACATACTTCTATTGTAGCTTGCTATCCACATCCTTACAGTTCATGAGCAATGCTGTCTTTTTATTTATAATTTTGGTCACGAAACTTCTTTTTTTATCATGTTTATCCTTTCATGTGATGCTTGTGATATTTTATTTGTCGGTAATCTCTTCTCAATGTATATTCTTGAGAATTCAAGGTATTTGATAAAATTTTAGAATTAATTCAGAGGTGAATTTAATGAAACAAGATTTAAATTTGTAGTATATATTAAAAAAATAACAAGGGTTTTTCATCTCTTTTTTGCGTGAAAAATATCATTCCATCCTAGCTAGAAGTCTTCATTTATGTATATTTAGTCTCTTTACACTTATTGTCTTTCTTTATTTGTTCAAATATATAAAACCTTAGAAAAATGATACATTAGAATATTGTAAAACTAATTATAAAATTAGGTTTTCTTTTCATGATTAGGGGAAAATGAGCTATCACAATTACAAGTATAAAAAATAAGGCGGCAAAATAGAAAAAGGATAATCCTGTCTTTTTTGTGAAAGTGTGTGGTTAGACAATTTAGTTCGTCGTTGTTAAAGTTACCGGGAAAAGAAAACTGAAATCTAAAGAAAAACCAAGATATTATTGCTAAAGAACATTCCTTACCTGAACCCGAAGGTAATTATTTTCAGAGTGGAGGGCTTGAAGCACCACTGAGATGTGCAGATCAACCATGTCTGCACTTGCATGACTAAAGGCATCGATCACCGGGGTGGAACCACCGCTTGTTAACCAACCCAACAATCCCCATTTAGCTGCTTCAGTTGCTTTATATTTTTCTTGAGCTTTAGGCGATCCAGTTCCTAAGGATATTAACAAAAACCGCCCGTAGTCCATTGGTTTTATAGGAAAGAAGTCTGGGCTCCCCTTAACGATTTCTTTTGTAACTTCGCTAATAGCAATCAAAGCCTGCTTTTTGAATCACGGCAGTATGTTTCAGCTAATTATTTCGCAGAGGAGAGAATAGATAAGATGAAACACAGATAAGTTATTTGAAAATAACTAAGTGAATTTAACACATACCGGATTGTTTGCAGCAACCCCACCGTCTATAAGGTTGAATTCCCTCACTTCCCCTGTTTGTTCATCCTTGGTTTCAAAATAATGGGCTGGAAGATAAGTGGGGGCGGCTGAGGTTGCAATGCATATGTCAGA